TCTGGTAGCATAGTGCCTAAGGCACTTGACTGCTAACCAGAAGGCTGGCGGTTCAAAACCACCAGCCACTCCTCGGAAGGAAGATGGGGCAATCTAGTTCTGTAGTGATATTGCCTCGGAAACCCAAGGAGGGGTCGCTATGAGTTGGGTCCAACTTGATGACACGTAACAACAACAACAACAACAGTTATGTTTTAGTTCTTACTTCAATCAAGAATAGAACAGTATCTCAGTGTCTCATGAATCCCTATATGTGACACATTTAAATTTAGGACCCTTACTTTTACTCTGTTCTGCCTTCCCCTACTTTCAGGAACATGTAAGGTAGGGTTTTAGATACAGATGATTGTTATTACAACAATTTTTATATAATATTTATTGTCGTCATTGTTAGCTACTGTCAAGTCGCTTCCAACTCACAGCAATTTATGTACAACAGAATTAAACACTACCTGGTCCTGCACCATCCTCACAATACTTGTTATGCTTGAGTTTGTTGTTGTAGCCACTATGTCAGTTCATCCTGCTGAGGGACTTCTTTTTTGCTGACTCTCTATTTTACCAAGCATGATATCCTTTTCCAGGGACTGGTCTCTCCTGATAATATGTCAAAAGTACATGAGATAAAGTCTCGCCATCCTTGCTTCTAAAGAGCATTCTGATTCTGACTGTACTTCCTAGACAGATTTGGTCATTCAGGCAGTCCATGGTAATTCATACGGTATTTGTCATCAACAGTGTAATTCAGAGACGTCAGGTCTTTTTCAGTCTTCCTTATTCATTGTCCGTGTGACATGATTGAAAATACTATGGCTTAGGTCAGGCATACATTAGTCCTCATAGTGACATGCTTTTGAACACTTTAAAGAAGTTCTTTGCAGCAGAGTTGCCCAGTGTAGTTTGTTGTTTGATTTCTTCACTGCTGCTTCCATGGGTGTTGATTGTAGATTCAAGTGAAAGGAAATCCTTCACGACTTCAATCTTTTTTTCCGTTTATTATGGTGTGGTTTATTGGTTTAGTTTTCACAATTTTTGTTTTCTTCATGCGACGGTGTAATCCGTATTGAAGGCTGTGTATAGACTTTGATCTTCATCAGCAGATACTTAAGTCCTCTACACATTTGCAAGCAAGATTGTGTCATGTGCATATTGGAGCTTGTTAACGAGTCTCCCCCTAATCCTGATCCTGCATTCATTTTTGTGTAGTCCAGCTTCATGGATTATTTGCTCAGCATGGAGATTGAGTAAGTATGGGGAAAGGATAGAACTCTGACACACACCTTTCCTAATTTTAAACCACGAGCTATCCCCTTGTTCTTCCAGTGACTGCCTCTTGGTTTATGTGCAGGTCCTGCATGAAGACAATTAAGAGTTCTGGAACTTGTTCTTTGTAGCATTATCCATAGTTTTTTATGATCCACACAGTCGAATACCTTTGCTTAGTCTTTGAAACACAGGTAAACATCTTACTGGTATTCTCTGCTTTCAGCCAAGATCCATTTGACATCAGCAATGATATCCTTTGTTCCATGTCCTCTTTTGAATCTGGCTTGAATTTCTGGCAGTTCTCTATGTACTGCTGCAACCATTTTTGAATCATTTTCAGCAAAATTTTACTTGTGTGTGATATTGATATTATTATTAGATAATTTCCACATTCTGCTGGATCACTTTTCTTTGGAATGGACACAAGTATGATCTCTTCCAGCTGGTTGGCCAGGTAGATGTCTTCCATATTTTTTGGCAGAAACAAGTGAGAGCTTCCAGCATTGCATCTGTTGAAATATCTCAGTTGTTACTTTGTCAATTCCTGGAGCTTTCTATCTTGCCAGTGTCTTCAGTGGAGCTTGGACTCCCTTCTTCAATACATTGATTCTTAATCATATATACCATCTCATTAAAGGGAGCTCTGGTAGTGTAGTGCCTAAGGCACTTGACTGCTAACCAGAAGGCTGGTGGTTCAAACCCACTACCTTTCTCGGAAGGAAGATGAGGCTGTCTACTTCTGTAGTGATACTGCCTGGGATACCCAAGGAGGGGTTGCTATGAGTCGGGTCCAACTCGATGGCATATAACAACAACAACAACAACAGCATCTCATTAAATGGTTTAACTTTGACCAATTCCTTTTGGTAAGTGACTGTATTCCTTCCCTCTTTTGATTCTTTCTGCATCATTCAATATTTTCCCCATAGAATTTTTCATCAATATTGCAACTTGAGGCTTGAATTTTTTCTTCAGTTCTTTAAGCACGAGTAGTACCTAATGTGTTCTCTTTTGGTTTTCTAACTCCAGGTCTTTGTATATTTCGTTATAGTACTTTAGTTTGTCTTCTTGAGTTGTCCTTAGAAGTCTTCTGTTCAGCTCTTTTAATTAATTGTATCTTACATTCTTTTTACCTACTCTGTTCAAGAACATGTTTCAGAGTCTCTTTTGACAACCATTTTGGTCTTTTCTTTCTCCTCTGTGTTTTTTAGTGACTTTTTGCTTTCTTCATGTATAATATCTTTTAAATCATCCCACAACTTCTCTGATCTTTGTTCATTAGGGTTCGGTACATCCAGTCTGTTTTTTTGGGTCTCTAAATACAGATGGGATATAATCAAGATCCCACTTTGGCTGTTGTGGGCTTGCTTTAATTTTCTTCATTGGAGCAATTGATGATCTGTTCTGCAGTTGGCCCCTGGCCTCGTTGTGACTGATGATATTAAACTTCTCCATTACGTCTCTCCACAGATGATTTGATTCCTATGTATTCCATCTGGTGAGGTCCATGTGTATAGTTGCTCTTTATGTTGTTTAAAAAGGTATTTGCAGTGAATAAGTCATTGGTCTTGCAAAATTCTGTCATATGATCTCCCTGGTGTTTTTTCTGTCACCAAAGCCATTTTTTCTAGCTGCCTATCTACCTTTGTTTCCAACTTTCATATTCCAATCGCCAGTAATTATCAGTCCATCTTGATTGAAAGTTTGATGAATTTCAGACTGCAGATTTTGCTTTATATCCTTTTGCTTACTGTGTTGTTCTTCATTTTTAATCAGTTGTGAAGGAATTTTATGTTTTTAAAGTATTCAGTGCACAAATGTGCAAGTAATGGAATTTACTAAAAACAACTGGGAATACTTTGAAAGACTTTTTATTGGTAAAAGTCATAGCATTTTCCTGCATTCATCATAAGATAACATTCTCTTAATTAATAAAATAATATCTCTTTTTGTAGTGCTCTTTCAGAGGAGGAGAAATCTACATTACGTGCAGGGCTCATCACCAACTTCAATGAACCAATAAATCAGGTTAGTGAACAAATGAATACTAATTAATCTTTTTCTCTTAATTTTTGCCTCTTTCCTAATCTAATTTTTTTCTTGCCATTAAAATTAAATTTTGTTACATAATGTCCTTTTGTGATATTTACACACCCCCACATACATTCTCCATTGGTTTTAAGTTTTGAGAACACTTGTAGCCATTAAGAATTCTGGTTTGATTTGGCTATTAAAGATTTAAGTGTCAGAGTCATTTTGAGGTATACTAATATAATAACTTTCTCAATTTTTGAACCAGATTGAAAACACATCTCTGGCATATATTTATAGTATTACTGCACAGAATTTAATTTTGACTAAAACACTTTCTTTTCTTCTTCTTCTTCTTTTTAAAATACAAGATGTCTTAAGGTATTCGTTTATTTCCTGCATCTATAACATTTTCAATTCCCACTACTCTATGAGGGATAGATATAGAAAGTCTTATTTTTTTCTTTCCATCATAATGAGATTTTTCCTTTGTGAATAACATAAGTTTTTTCTATGGGTATAAAAATTCTTATTTTTGTCTGAGTTAATGCTATTTTTTATACTTGATTACTTTGATTTAAATAATAAAACATACTGTATTTGGTGATGTTTACTAAATCAGTTTTATTTTGAGTTCTCTATCTTACTTCTCTAATACGTAATTCCTAGACAAAGAGAAGAGGGATAATTGAGAGGAATGGAGTTATTCTTATTAAGGCAGGACATGATTGGGAAGGGTTTGGGTGACTTAATGTTCTGGCAACCATAATTTGAAAAGTACTACCTGTACATACATCATTATTTACATGTTTAATATTTGATGTTAATTTTTAGCCTTAGGTTAGTAGTTTTATTAAAAACTTTGTGGTCTTAGGATATCTTTATGTTGTTAAAAGAGAAGACTCCAAAGGGTTAGATATGTTGGTATTAACTGTATTAGAAGTTAAAACTGAGAAATTTTAAAAATACTTATTTACAGGTCATTTGAAAACTATTATTTGGTAACATAAATAACATTTAAAAATGAAAAAATAGATATTTGCCTAAATAATAAAAATTAGTGAGTAGAGTGGCATTGTTTGCAGTTTTGCAGATCTCTTTAATATCTAGGAACTCTGGTGGTGTAGTGCCAAAGGTATTTGACTGTTAACCAGAAGGCTGGCAGTTCAAACTCACCAGCCACTCCTTGGAAGGAAGGATGGGCAATCTACTTCCGAACTGATACCGCCTTGGAAACCCAAGGAAGGGTCGCTATGAGTCAGATCTGACTCAATGGCAGTGAGTTGTGTTTTTTTTCTTCAATATCTGCCTATTAAAAAGAAGACATCCAGCTTTTGTATCTGTTCTTTCATTTACTCTGTTGTGATACATTGTTTTGATTGAAGTTATATGAAGAAAATGCAGCCTCACACACAATAGGTAATTGGAAGCGAGGGGGCACTACAGTCCCGCTGAAAGGGTGGTAGGCCCCTCAGACATCCACAGACTGCACTTTAAGGACTACTGTCTTCACTGTCTTAAGCAATTCCTTAGTGAAATTTTACTCATTTTTGTGAAGTGTATAGTCAGCAGAAAACATTATTTTCAACTGTGAATGCATTCTGTTTCCATTGGTTTGATTCTATACATTTATTTCTAATGATGAATTTCCCCCTCTAGATTGCAACTCAGATTGCAGTGCTGATTGCAAAAGTTGCTAGATTGGATTGTCCTAGACAATGGCCTGAGCTGATCCCCACTCTTATTGAATCTGTTAAAGTCCAAGATGATCTTCGACAGCACAGAGCATTACTTACCTTCTATCATGTTACCAAGACTTTGGCTTCTAAACGACTGGCTGCTGATAGAAAATTGTTTTATGATGTAAGTGGTTTAATACAGTTTTGATAATGGAAAGTGTGTTATTTGTATAAAAATGATGATAGTTTTTCCTTAAGGTTAATATTTTATTGAAAGATTATGAATTCTTTCTAATAGACCTAAAAAGCTTTTGGATAAAGGAGAACTAAAAAATTTTAAACTGAGTGGAAAAGTCATTTAGTTGCCAGTTCAGAAGATTTGTTGGATGGAAACAGTCTGAAGGCATAGAGATTAATTTGAGAGGAAGCTGTTTACATGTCAAATGAAACAGTGGTAAAAGGAACAATAAGGAGGGGATAGATTTGATATTCAGGGAACAGAATTGAAACATCTGGGTAGCTGATGAATACAGGGCAGAAGTAGGTAAGACTCCTATATAAGTGGGACTGGTAGAGCCCTTTACTGGGTGTTTTAGCACCGTTTTTTGAACAGACTTTTCTTTCTCTGTTCAGTTGCTTTGACACTTTTATAGTTGATTATTTTTTGCCTACCAAAACAGTGATTTCATACGGTTCAACTTAACTTGAACTGTGTCATGCAATGCTGATGGGCCTCAAAAATTATTTTTAACAGTGTTCTTGCTTCTTGTTGTTGTTGTTAAGTGCCGTCGAGTCGTTTCCGACTCATAGGAACCCCATGCACAGCAGAACGAAGCACTGCCCGATCCCGCGCCAGCCCCACAATCCCTGCTATACTTGAGCCCATCATCGCAGCCACCATGTCA